TTGCTACCAGCTTCTTCTTCTGCTATCTTTGTCCCAGAATGATGCCTGCCAAATGTCATTCTGATCAGTCCTTTTTGAGGTGACTCTTTGGTCAGGGAGCTGCTTGAGGAGATGGTCTGTACTTTATAGGAGCTCAAGTGCTGAGCTGTGAGCTCCGTTGTTCATTCAGGGCTGTTAGCCAGGTATGTTTAAGTCTGCTGCAGCAGAACTTATAAAACCCCTGTTTTTCCTCAGAAGCTCTGTTTTGGGGAGTTAGGGCTTTCTTCATGAGTATTTGTTGCACTGTCCTGCCCAGCTAGGAGGCAGTCTAGTCACTATTTGCCTGCCGAGGCTCCGCCCTGCTACTGTGGGGTCTGCCCTGTTGCTGTGGGCTCTGCCCTGCTGCCGTGGGCTCCGCCCTGTTGGCGGAGTCTCTCTGTTATGGTGGGTTGCCTCAGCAACAGCAGGCTGTGTCAGCAATGGGAGTGTACCTCAGTAGCGGTGGAATGCCTCGGTAATGGCGGACGCCCCTCCCCCACCGAGCTGCACCATCCTGGGTTCAACTGTGCCTGCAGTGAAACTCTCAAACCCGAGCGTTTCGAATTGCCGTTTTGTTTGTCCCTGTAGGGGTGGGACCCGCCGAGTCTGATCATCTGGCTCCCTGCCTCAGAGCCTTTTTTTTTTTTTTGAGTGGAACGGTTGACTCTCTCCCAGGTGTTTCAGTCGCCTGCTGATAGGACACCAGGATCTGTTATTTCCCGTGCAGTGACCCGCTGCACCGGCTCAAATGTCGCTTCCCAGGAATCTCCTGGTCTGGCTCACTGTCCAAGTCCCATTTAATCAGATGGATATGCTAATCTGCCTTCCCAAATCTCAGATTGCCAGTTTAACAGGGCACCCAGACCAGTGCATTTTGTGTGGAGTGCCGCTGTGCTGCAGAGCCGGCCGAAATGGCTGTGTCAGCCGAAGCAGCTGTGCTGGCGTCCTGTGTCTCTCCTACACCTGGGAATTTCCCCATTCTGTGGGCAACAAAGATCCGTCTGGAAATGCGGCTTGGACTCACCCTCTGCGCCTTCACTGAGAGCTGCAATCCTGAGTTGCTCCTACCATGCCATCTTCTTTTTCCCCTCTGATTTTTTTTATTATTTCTTTTTTTTTGTTGTTTGTTTGTTTTTTTGAGATGAAGTCTTACTTTGTCGCCCAGGCTGGAGGGCAGTGGCATGATCTTGGCTCTCTGCAACCTCCACCTCCCAGGTTCAAGTGATTCTTCTGCTTCAGCCTCCCGAGTAGCTGGGACTACAGGTGCCTGCCACCTCATCTGGCTAATTTTTGTATTTTTGGTGGAGACAAGGTTTCACCATATTGGCCAGGCTGGTCTTGAACTCCTGACCTGCCTTGACCTCCCAAAGTGCTGGGATTACAGGCGTGAGCCACCGCATCTGGCAGATTTTTAAAATTATTTCTTTTAGAACGTTTTGTGTTTTGTTTAGGAAAATTTTCCCTAAACAAAAGTTGAAAACATTCTTCTATAGAATGTAAAAAAGGTTTATAGTTTTTGCCTTTCACATTTATGTCTTTAAACTACTTGGAACTGATTTTTTTCTTTGAGACAGGGTCTTGTTCTTTTGTCCAGGCTGAAGTGCAGTAATGCAATCATGGCTCACTGCAGCCTCGACCTTCTGAGCTCAAGTAATCCTCCTGGCTCAGACTCCCAAGTAGCTGGCACCACAAATGTGTGTCACCATGTCCAGCTGACTTTTTTATTTTTTATTTTATTCATAGAGATGGAGTCTCATCATGTTGCCCAGTCTGGTCTTGAACTCCTGGGCTCAAGCAGTCCTCCTGTCTCGGTCTTCCAAAGTGTTAGAATTACAATCATAATCCACTGCACCTGGCCTGGAACTAATTAGATGGAGTCTCGGCTCACTGCATCCTCCGCCTCCTGGGTTCAAGTGATTCTCCTGCCTCAGCCTCCTGAATAGCTGGGATTACAGTTGCCTGCCACCATGCCCAGATAATTTTTGTATTTTTAGTAGAGATGGGGTTTTGCCATGTTGGCCAAGCTGGTTTTGAACTCCTGACCTCAGGTGATCCAACCACCTTGGCCTCCCAAAGTGCTGGGATTGCAGGTGTGAGCCATGTGCCTGGCCTAGAACTGATTTTTTGAGTGTAGTATGGGATACAAAGTAGGGGCCTAATTTCATTTTTTTTCTGTATGGATATCCAACTGTTCTAGCTTCATATTTTGAAAAGACTATTCTTTTTCCACTGATTAAAAAAGCCACTTTTATCATACATCAGAGATCTATCTATCTATCTATCTATCTATCTATATATTGCTGGATTTAATTTGGGCAATTTTTATTCTGTTCACCTATTTGTCCATCTCTATGCTAGTACCACAGTATCTGCACTGTAGGTCTATGTTAGTCTTAAGAGGAGGTAGGGCAAGTTTTCCTTTTTTTTTTTCAAGAGCGTCTTGGTTTCTTATCTTATTATTTTGTATTTCCTTTTCTTTTTCCTGAAGAGTTGGGTTTATTTCAGTGGTAAATTTGAAACCCTTGCCTTAAACAAGAGTACTATAGTAATTATATCAGAAACAGACAATTTCCTATACTGTCAAATATATAAAAGTTCTTTTTGTACTTTCTTCAACACTGATCAACAAGCAGAGTCAGTTCACATTTGCTTTGATCTAGCTACTGAGTTAACCTGAGTTGCTTCTTCAGAGATTCTGGCATCTTCGGTGGGGGAGGGCAAGGGATCCTGAAGTAGACCTTCACAGAATCATACATAAACTACTGTAGTGCAGAGTACCAGTCATAATGATACAAGCAAACAGTCCCTTCCATACACCTTTAAATCCAAGACTCTGGAGGACCTGAGAAGCACTGCTACCTGTTTCTTTATTCAACACAGATACCACAGAATCAGCAGGGTGAGAAACAATTGCACAAAACACTCTAGGTATATAACCTGCTATAAATGTTGCAACCAGCTCCTATGCCTTTGAACATTCATGGTGGGGGCTTAGGAACCACAAACTTGTATGATGCTTCAACAATACCTTCGAAGCAGACAAACTTCATCATGGTGTATGCTGCCTCATCCAGAGAGGAGCAGTCCCTTTGTAGAATGTTGTTAGGACTTCTTCCTTATACATTTTGGGAGCTGCATTCCTCAAAATGTTGGTGTAACCTGGTTGGGTTTGAATTTGAACCTTAGCAGCTTCCATAAGGCAATAACAGCAAAGAATTTAGCACTGGCAGAGGCAGCCAAATATAGTGATATGCGCCAGAGATAACATGTTCTGGAAGCATATTGCTATACAAGACTTTAAAGACTTCATAAAAACCAAACTTGCAGAGTCCGGCATGGAGTGGCCAATGAAAGTCAGAGCCCAACCTTTAGCCAAACAGCAAACACCATCGCCGGGCGTGGTGGCTCACGCCTGTAATCCCAGCACTTTGGCAGGCCGAGGTAGGTGGATCATGAGGTCAAGAGATCGAGACCATCCTGGTCAACATGGTGAAACCCCGTCTCTACTAAAAATACAAAAAATTAGTTGGGCATGGTGGCGCGTGCCTGTAATCCCAGCTACTCGGGAGGCTGAGGCAGGAGAATTGCCTGAACCCAGGAGGTGGAGGTTGCGGTGAGCCGAGATCGCGCCATTGCACTCCAGCCTGGGTAATAAGAGTGAAACTCCGTCTCAAAACAAAAAACAAAAAACAACAAAAATAAAAAGAACAAAAATAGCAAACACCATCGTCCTTAGTGCAACTGAGAATCCATTAAATATGCCCTTGTACTTTTGGGGGTCTACCTGCATATGGCATTTCTCTAAACACCAGGGAAATGACGGCAGTATGTGTCAGACAACAACCTAAGACCTCACTAGAGCCACACGGTGCATAATACTTCATGGAGCCAAATTCACAACTGTACTTTTCCAAGGCAGCAGCTGCCAGGTTAAGAGAGCAGTGGGGCAGCCCTATGGGTCTTGTGAAGCTGCTATGGAGGTCCGTGAGGCCATCATCCACCAGCTGCAGGTGTGGTCCATTGAAGGAGTTCACACATGCCAGGTGTGCCATGGATGAGAACTTCTCCCTAAGATGGTGAACGCCCAGTCACTCCCTTGGAAAGTTTGTGGCTCACAGGATGATATTTTGTATTTCTGCATTGGATTTAGAATCAGCTTGTTAAGTTCCACAGGAAAATAGGTTGAGATTTAATTGAGATTGCATTTAATCTACAGACCAATTTAGGCAGAATTGACATTTTTATAGTATTGCATCTTACAATCTATGAGCATATGACGTATTTCTTCACTTTAGATCTTCTTTAGGAGTCCCTCAATAAATGTTTTATAATTTCCTTCATAGAAGGACCAAAACCATCTTTAGACAAGTGGAAATGGGGATGCCAAGAGGAGGATAAAAAGGAGACAATTTTCACCCACTGTGGCCGGAAATTGAAAGGCGACATATACAGTTCATTCTGACATTTTTCAGTATTACTGACTTTTTACTCTTTCTTTTTATTATTTGTTACTTTTAATTACTTGTATACATTTGCATTGTCTTTAAGTCATAAGCCACATCCCTAAACACTTAGCAGATTACCTTATTTCTTATTTTAGAAGATGTTGCCTGAGCAGCTAAAGCACTCTTAATTGTCTCCTTGTTGTGCATCTCCACTGCAAAATTTCTCCCATCTTTGTACTCTTTTTTTTTTAACACTATACCTGAGATAGGAGTGTCCCTATGAGTAAGAAGGTCCAGTGCTAATCTATGCATGAGTACTCCGATTCCAGGACAGTTGGGATAACTGTGGTTATAGTGGTTACAGATTCCTTCCTATCTGTAGTCTTCCTTTGCATTTTCCACAATCAACTAATGGCAGAGGCCCCAGAAAAATGATGCCCAGTTTTATAGTAGAAACATAACATGTAAGAATTATTACATTGTTAACATTCTTCTACCTATATCACCTATGAAATGAGGATTTTGTTACTTTTACAGATTAGAGCACTTTTTTGTCTGAGCTTCTGTGACCTGCTCCTGGGACTTTGCTGGCTCACAGAGACACTTCTCTATGGAGCTTCAGTAGCAAATAAGGACATCATCTGCTATAACCTACAAGCAGTTGCACAGGTGAGTGCTACTCGACTGTCACTGCACCTTGCAAGAAAGGCATACTCAGATCTAAATAGAAACAAAGATGATTCGGCTTGGGAAGTGGAGACCCATTTGTTTATTGTTATGTTTCGAAACAATAGCTTTTGTCTTTTTTTTTAATATTAAAAAATGTTATTTATTATAGAAATTTTTGAAAAATCAGAGAAGCAGATAGATAATGTTATTCTTTAATATTTTGTTCAAATTAAATATCCTTCCAATCTTTTCATAATGAGTATATATGTTTTTAAAGCAATTCAAATAATATATTAATACTTTTTTTTTTTCGAGACAGTCTCGCTTGCCAGGCTGGAGTGCAGTGGTGCCATCTTGGCTCACTGCAGCCTCTACCTCTGGGATTCAAGTGATTCTCCTGCCTCAGCCTCCTGAGTAGCTGGGACTGCAGGTGCACACTTGCCACCATGCCCAGCTAATTTTCGTATTTTTAGTAGAGATGGGGTTTCACCATGTTGGCCAGGATGGTCTCGATCTCTTGACCTTGTGATCTGCCCGTTTCACCCTCCCAAAGTGCTGTGATTACAGGCATAAGCCACCTCTCCTGGCCAATGAATACTTTTTATAACCTGTTTTTGTTATTCAACATATTGTGATTATGTTTCCAGGTAATGAAATATTTCTCCATAATATCATTTGAAATGATTGCATGGTTTTGTGTTACAGGAATAAAATAAACATTGGATTTTGAAAATACTGCAGATAATCACATATGGGTTGTATATCTTTCATGAATTTTACCAATGGATTAATCCACATAGTACCATCAGTATATAACACTGCTTCTATGTTTCTGAGACATGCAGTGTGAAAAAAATAAAGGTTAAAATGCAGTCTCTTCTCACTGCTAGGTATTTCCTTTATTAGGGGGAAATTTCTTTCAATTTAATAATAAATTAATAATATGTAATTGGTGGCATGAAATCTGTACACTAATGTGTTACCTATATCATATGAGTTTAAAATGTTTTAGAGTCATACTTTGCTCAGTCCTGCTAACAATCTCATAAGTTAAATAGAATTAAGGCTGTATTGTTTACTCAGATAATTATAGTCTTTAGTCAGAAAAGTCTGTATTAGAATCCTGGACCTGATTAACTTTGTAATGTTTGATCAGCACCTAATCTTTCTGAGCTTCAGTCTCCTAATCTGTAAAATGGTCATTAATAATATTTACTTTGTGCTTGGTACAGATGTGGTTAATGTTACTTTGTTTTTTTACAACTTTATTGAGCTATATCTGTAGTTAAACTATACATATTTACGGTGTACAATCAGTTTTTACATATGTATTTTCCTGTGAAATCATCACCACAATCAAGATAACAAACATTCCTGTTTCCATCACCCTCCAAATCATTTCAGATATGTTTTCCTTTATGTCGTTGAGCTATGTATTATAATAGTTGCTTTTAAAAATAGTTGTTGGATATTTCCAATGTCTGGCTCATTCCTAGGCTGGTGTCTGTCTGTTGATTATCTTTTCCCATGAGCATGGGTCACATTTTCCTGTTCTTTGTATGTCAGGTAATTTAGGATTGCATCTTAGATATCATGAATACTATGTTGCGTAGAGTCTGGGTTCTTTTATAATTCTCTAGAGATTGTTAATACTTTTATTTAGCAGACAATCAACCTGATTAGGTTTGGAATGTAAATGTGGTCTCATCATCTGTGGACAATGGTTCAAATCTCTCTTAGTTCTATAAGCCTTGGCTATGCTGGTTTGAGACTGTCATGCACATGCGTAGTAGACAGGTTAGGCTGAGACTTGTTTGGTTTAATACACAGAATTAAAGCATCTCTTTTTCTGGCTGTCTTTCTTCTGGGATCCCCTCCATACTTTTCTGTCTAAAAGGGGTCCTTTTCTGGTCTCTATTGCCTAAGATAGATTTCTATTAAAGTTGTAGTTACCTTCATTGAGCAGCATCATGACTGAGGTACATGCTTGAGCAAAACTAAGAGAAAAGGGAGGGAAAAGTTTGAAAAACTCACTTGGTCTGTTCAGTTTACTTCTCCAAGTTTGACTTCTTTCCACAATCTACCTGTTTTTGTTTACTTTTCAGAGTCTTCAAGTGTTTGTTTTTTATGTTTTTCCTAGGATTCTTACTTGTAATCAGGGATGAACTGGAGAGGGCTTAAACATATTTATTTTGTTTGTTTTATTTTTTTAAGATTGTGGTAAAATATACATAATATAAAATTTATCATTTAAAAATTTTAAGTATGGTAAAAAGTAACATAAAATTTATAATCTTACTTGTTTTAAGTATACACTTCAGTGACATTAAACATTCACTTTGTTATACAACTGTAACCACAGTCCATCTCCAGAACTTTTTCATCTCGAACTGAAACTGTGTGCCATTAAACAGTAACTCCCCATTTCTCCCTAGTACCTGATCCTGGTAACCACTCTTCTACTTCTCTATGAATTCGACTACTCTAGGTACCTCATATCGGTGAAGTCATATAATACTTGTCCTTTTGTGTCTGGCTTATTTCACTTAGCATGTCTTCAAAGTTTATCTTGTTGTAGTATGTGTCAGAATTTCCTTCCCTTTTTAAGGCTGAGTAATATTCCATTGTATGGATAGACCACACTTGGTTTATCTGTTTATCTTTCAGTGGACACCTGGGTTGCTTCCACCTTTTGGATGTTGTGAATAATGCTGCTATGAACATTGATGTACAAATAGATTTGAATTCCTACTTTCTCAGTTCTTTTGTGCATATACTCAGGAGTAGAATTACTGGATCAGATGGAAATTCTGTGTTTGATTTTTTTGAGGAAACACCATGTTTTCCATAACAGCAGTGCAGAGAGCTACAGTTTCCACATCAACTCCAACATTTGTTGTTATTTTTTTTTAAGTAATAGCCATCCTAATGGGTGTAAAGTGGTTTCTTGTTGTGGTTTTGATTTGCATTTCTCTAATCATTAGTAATGTTGGGTATCTTTTCATGTGCTTATGGACCATTTTTATATCTTCTTTGAAGATATGTCTCTTCAAGTCCTTTCCCTCTTTGTTTTTATTTGAGAGGGGACAAAGTCTCACTTTCTCACCCAGGCTGGAGTGCAGTGGCAATATCTTGGCTCACTGCAGCTTCTGCCTCCCAGGTTCAACTGATTCTCCTGCCTCAGACTCCCAAGTAGCTGGGATTACAGGCATGTGCCATGACACCTGGCTAATTGTTGTGTGTGTGTGTGTATTTTTTTTTTTTGAGACGGAGTTTCGCTGTTGTTACCCAGACTGGAGTGCAATGGCAGGATCTTGGCTCACCGCAACCTCTGCCTTCTGGGTTCAAGCAATTGTCCTGCCTCAGTTTCCGGAGTAGCTGGGACTACAGGCGTGCACCACCATGCCCGGCTAATTTTTGTATTTTTAGTAGAGACGGGGTTTCACCTTGTTGATCAGGGTGGTCTTCATCTCTTAACCTTGTGATCCACCTGCCTCGGCCTTCCAAAGTGCTGGGATTATAGGCGTGAGCCACTGTGCCCGGCCTAATTGTTGTATTTTTAATAGAGATGAAGTTTCACGATGTTGACTAGGCTGGTCTCCAACTCCTGACTTCAAGCAATCCACCCGCCTTGGCCTCCCAAAATGCTGGGATTACAGGTGTGAGCCACCGTGCCCAGCCCTTCCCCATTTTTAAATCAGATTATTTACCTTTTTGTTATTGAGCTGTAAGAGTTCTTTGTAAAGTCTTTACATTAACCCCATATCAGACATACAATTTGCAAATATTGTCTCCCAGTCTGTAGGCTGCCTTTTCACTCTGTTACTTGTGTCCTCTGATGCAAAGAAGTTTTACAAATTTTGATGCAGTTCATGTTTTCTTTTATTGCCTGTGTTTTTGATGTCTTACCCGAGAAATCATTGCCAAATACAATATCATGAAGCTTTTACACTATATTTTCTTTTAAGAGTTTTATACTTTTAGTTTTACATTTAAGTCTTTAATCTATTTGAAGATTTTTGTATGTGGTGTAAAGTAAGGGTTCAACTTAATTTTTGTGCCTGTGGAATATTCAGTTTTCCTGGTATCATTTATTCATTTGAGACAGTCTTGCTCTGTTACCCAGGCTGGAATGCAGTGACATGATCATGGCTAACTGTGGCTGTGACCTTCCGGGCTCAACTGATCCTCCCACCTTAGCCTCCCAAGTATCTGGGACTACAGGTGCATGCCATCATACCTGGCTAATTCTTGTATTTTTGGTAGAAATGGGGCCTCCTTATGTTGCTGACACTAGTCTCGAACTCCTGGGCTCAAGCAGTCTTCCCACCTTGGCCTTCCACAGTGCTGGGATTATGGGCGTGAGCCACCATGCCTGGCCCCATTTGCTGAAAAGAATGTTCTTTCCCTTCCCCATTGAATGATCTTGGCACCCTTGTCAAAATCATTTGATTATATATGTAGGATTTACTTCTGGGCTTTTAATTCCTATCCATTAGGTCTTTATGAAACTGGAAAGTGTGAGTCCTCCAACTTTTTGTTCTTTTTTCTTTTTGAGACAGGCTGGAACGCAGTGGCATGATTATGGCTCACTGCAGCCTCGACCTTCTGGGCTCAAGTGAGCCTCCTTCCTCAGCCTCCTGAGTAGCTAGGACCACAGGTGCATGCCACCACACCTGGCTAATTTTTAATTTTTTTTTTTTTTGTAGAGATAGGATCTTCCATTGTTGCTCAGGCTGGTCTCAAACCTCTGGGCTTAAGCGATCCTCCTACTACAACCTCCCAAAGTGCTAGGAATACAGGTATGAGCCATCACACCTGGCCTTTTCTTTTTCCAAGATCGTTTTAGCTATTCAGGGTCCCTTGAGATTCCATAAGAATTTTAGTATGGTGTTTTTTATTTCTGCCATGAAAAAAGTTGTTGGGATTTTAATAGGGATTGCATTGAATCTGTAGGTCACTTAGGGTAGTATTGAACATTTTAACAACAGTGTTTCAGC